ACTACTCTCTCTCTCTCTCTCTCTCTCTCTCTCTCTCTCTCTCTCTCTCTCTTTTTTCACGCTTCCCTTTTATTTTTCTTTTCTCGCGCGAACGTCCCCTCTATTTCTACTCGAATAACCAAGTTCATTTAAGGGAAAATGAATTTCTTCGTCGCATTATGAGGAGCTGTTGAGCAACCTCCAGACGGCGTAATAAGTCAAAAGAAGTTTCTTCTCGAGCGTTTGCCGAGTCAATTACCGCGAAATTTCTTATTACACGCAGACAGGAAACGGCTGCCAACCACCAAACCTTCGAATCGTCGAATGCGGCACGCCCTTTATTATTTACGTTTTAACGCGAGCAATTTCAACAACATTAGACTTTCATGCGTCCAATTGCGCGTGACGCGAATTCTCTTTCGAATCGTTGCATGAATTTCACGCCCCTCCCACCCCCGCTTCTCGTTTCTTTCCAAGTTTCGTAATGTGTAATTTGTTATAGGAATATCGATCGAAAGATCCATACGTTTGTTCCATTTTTATTATTCGGAATTCGCAATAAATTGTGATCCTCGTCATGGAATTCGTAGGATAATCGATTTGGAATATTATCTATTAATGCTAGACGTCGTCGTGTTTTCGAAATATCATTGAAAATTGATTTTAAAACATGCGCAATTTATTACAATTATTGGTGTACAGTTGCACGCACTGCGATGAATGTACGTAGTAATTGTACACGCTGATTAACAATTACACGTTAATGAGAACGGTTGATCGAGTCTATTTTACTTATTAAGTGTAATTGTTCGTTGACAGCTAATTAATCGGGAACTTAATTTACGCGATTACGTTGAAAAATTATCGCTGCTTCGATCAATTATCTTTATTATACGATCTCGTCTTACGAGATATAAATAAACAATTGCTAATAAACTTATTTCACAAGTATTTATACTCGTATATATATATATATCGTAATCGTAAATATAAAAAGGAAAGGAAGTATAAAAAAACTTCAAGGAAATTCGAAAAAAAATTCTTCTCTAAAATCGAAGCTCTCCTCCTCATCTCCAGGAACAGAGAAATTACGCGAAATTACGTTAATTAACTCCATTACTGTCATCGTCGATTAATTTCCTCCTCCTCCCCTCCCCCCTCCCCTCCCTGCCCCACATCCTAACGCCAAACCGCGGGCGGTGAAGCAATTAGCCGAATCACAACGCCTGAACAATTACTTAAACGCAAAGTACAATAGCGTCGTACACGTCTATAACTGCCCTGCTCGCCCCCCACCTCCGCGAATACCGAGCTACCACGGAACGTGATATATCGTTCCGGGTAGCCAGTCGATTGCGTGGCGTATTCAATTTACGAAGCCTAATTTGACCAAGTTGCAAATGCAGAGATGGGGGGAGAGACAGGGAAAACCGCACGTGTCGTTCGTCTCCAATATGCTAGCCGGGCAATCCGTACGTACGCCGTTAAAAGCCCCAGGGTGTAATTTGTACGACGATAAATATTCCCTAGATTGTAGCCTGCTACCAGGACAGTGTCGCCGCCTCGCGACGATCAACGAGACTACGTAGCCTCGTGCTTTACCTCGTTACTTCCTCCTCGACTGATCAACGTTCGCGTTCTTCTCTATTTTCTTTTTTTTCATCGTTGACGGATAGGCGGTATTTTTAAACAGTTGAAACAGTTTTAACGTGTAGAGGCGTATGTCGATTAAAGTATATATTAATTATAATATATAAAGTAAATTGTAATATATATATATATATATATATTTATGAAATATTAGCGATTAGCGTATATTGCTATAGGTTTGGGAGCGTGAAATGAAAAGAGTAGTTATGAGAGTAATAATTTTTTATCAAAAATTTGAAAAATATTTTGTCATTCACCTATTCTCCACTTCCCCGAAACACGTCTACCATCTGATGTTTACCCAATACACCCTCCTCCCCCTCTTCTCCTATTTAATTATCAAATTCACCGATCAATAACCTCCATTCGTTCTTTGTTCCTCTCCTCGGAGGAGGAACGCGGCGGTCTGTGTCTCGATCGATGATAATTATTCTCGTAAATTCAAGCATAAATGCGCGCAACTACGGCGTAGACGGGGGGCGTGGAAGGGATCGGTGGGTTAAATGCTCGTAATGACGTCTCGTAATTGCATCGAAAGTTCGCGGGGAGACCGTAATTATCGTACGGCTGCACTTCCAACGATACCATCGTCGTCGCTACAATCGACGTTCGCTTATGCAAACCGTTGGAAAAAAATATTTTCATCTCCTCTGTCTCTTTCTTTCTCTCCCTTTTTCCTTCTTCCTCTTCCTCCTCTTATTCGTACTCGATTCGGCTGTTGCCGATTCGAAACGGGGTCAAGTGTCGCGAGATTGCGTCACACCTATCATCCAACAGCGATTAATCACGGATGACGAGGGTTCTTCGAGGTAATGGGGGAATAATCGGAAGATCGTAATAATTCACGTCCCCCCCTCCTCCCCCCTCCCCCGATTGGGAATTGATTCGTTAATGGATTTGCGGTGAATTTTTTTATTTTCGGTGAAACAACGAATAAACACAAATGATAGGAATTATCGGTGATTCCGAAAAAAGCTTGGAGATTCTCGTCCAAATTGTCCTTGTTAGATCAAAATTCGAAGAAGATTTGGAAAGATTGAAACGAATTGTAATCCCGCTCGAAATAAATATAACAAGGGTCTGTCTGACATCTGCGTTCGCTCGCAGCGTTCGACGATTAGTCAAAGGAATCGATCAACCGGTTGTGCGGAGATTCGAGTAATTTATTTCAACGATCAGCCCTATTAATATTCATTATTCGGTCAATATCTTGATTATGCGAATCACCGGCACTCGGATAATTATCTAGGTAAGCGTTCATTATTCGGGTTGTACGAATGTACAACCAATTGATTGACGCGAGGCACCATCGATATTTTCGCGCATGTGGGAGAAATCAGATTATCAAAAATATGGAATTCCATCTTTTCGTTTATTCGGCAATTGTACACGGGAAAAATTTAATTATCGGGAAAATATATTGTATTTGGAAAAATGTGAAGGATGATAGATTAAAATTTCGATGATAAATTTAAACAACATCCTATATATCCTATATATATTAATATATATACATATTTT